GTTAAATTTAACCTCATCTGGTTTAATGGTGTGGAAGAAAATCATCGTCTTTATTCAGCAGAGCTGTGCCTTTGTCTTATGCCAGATGTTGGTTTGTCCCTTTGACTCAAAATCCTACAAGTTTTTTGTTTTTGTCATACAGAGAAAATATTTCTTGAACCTACGAATATATTCTAAAGTTAAAACGGGCAGGACACTGGCTTTTTATCTCCTTTTTTTAAATTCAGACTTGTATGTCCTGGGACTTATAGGACATCTGGTGGTGGACCCCCACCAACTTTGTTTTAGCTTTCTGGCAATGCATCTGATCCTTTAAAATTAATACTTTAGTGTGTATTGCATATGCCTGTCTGACTGCTTGAATAGACAGGGAAATAATTTGTCCAGTCTTTATTCTGTGATAAGTGAACTGTTAGCCAGTTTCACCTCAGATTCCATCTGCTTCTCATATTATCTTGCTGTAAAGTCATAAAACAGAGTTGGGGAAAAAGCAATTAGAAATACTTTAAAAAAGCATTCTTCTTAGATACTGTTTTGTTCAGCAAAGATTAATGTAGACTGTAAAGATCTTTGTAAACAAAGTGTTCTTTACTGAGCCAACTTTGTAGCTATTTATCAAAGAAACCTTAATAAAAAGAGTGCTCTATAACTTAAAGAAGTTTTTCATCAACCATCAAATATACTAAGTTGGGCACTCAACTTCTTCTTTATACCTCCAACATACTTAGTATAATTCTGTATCTGAAGGGAATTACAGAAAGACTTTATAAATAGGATTTTTATTATAGAAATGAGTATCTGTACAGCTTTGTAGATAAATTAGAACACTTCAGAAAGCTCTCTTTTTTCTATTCTGTGACTTTACATATGTCAGGATCTAATTTCTTCTAGTTGTGTTATGCTTTGTCAGGTGGGTAAGTTGGGATAGGAAGACCCAGTGAAATCAGGCTTTTGGATCCAGGGCAGATCTGGAGATGCCAGGGACCAAACTCAACTTCGCTGAGCTGCTTAGGGCCGGAGATACTCCCTGCTGATGAGTCAGTCCTTGGAAGGACTCATTCATCTCTGGCCTTAGCCAAAAAGCCCTCCTGTCTGTCCCTAAAAATGTGGACTTCCCATCACAGGCAGTTCCCCTGCACATGCCAACATGCCGTAGTGAGCAGGTGAGAACTGGCAAAACTGAATTGCTCTGTATTCAGACATGACTGTTCAGCTTTTGTTCAGCTGACAGCAGACCTGTCTTGGCAAAGATACATTTTGGCCTCACATACCTGGTTGATTTAGAAAAGGTACTAAATTGCAGGCTTGCTTTAGCAGTTAAAATCTAAACTGTGTCTGTAATGGCCAAAATGTAATGAGACTTAAAATTTTCCAAACTGGGGCCAAAACTCATTTTGGATTTGCCTTACAATAGAAATGCAAAGCTTTCTTCATAAGAGATAAAGAATAAGTCCATCCTCAAATCAATGATGAGCTGTCCAGTGAAGTCTCTCCAAGCTGTAGTCTCGAGAAGAGATCTTTGCTCTGTGTGCATCCCCTCAGACAGAGCCTGTGGGGTAACCTATGTCAGATATGATGTCATGAACCATGACTGCTGCAGGTGAAAGGGGGGTCTGTAGCCAGTTTCCGTGGTAACTGGTAACCTGCAGCTTGCTGACGCAGTACTGGATCTGTCCATGTCTGTGCACAAAGCATTCAGTGATGGACACATATAGCTGTCCTAGAAAAGCCTTGGCAAAGGGTTGATTTGGTGGAGGGCAAGCCTTTTTCCCCTTTCTAGCAAGGCATTTTCACTTGTGTTGTGTTGTGCTCTGTTCCTCTGTTTATTTGGCTTTTTTGGAAATATTTGGCATAACTTTTATTGTTTGAAACATGACTTTCTTTCGTGTTACAGTTTGCAGTGAATTTTCAGACTGGCCCAAATTTACCTCTTGTTTTGTAGCTGCTTGAGGTTTTGTTTTGGTAGCTTGCTGCTTGCAGGAAGAAAAAACATACCAGCTCAAGAACTTCTAAAGTCATGGAAAGCCATTTCCTGAAGTTGTAAAGATAGTATCATACACAAGATTATGAAAAGATCAATTCTGTTCTTTCTATAATGTGCAGTGTATTGGAAGAAGGTTTGTTTGGATTCTTTAGTGTTCTGATTACCCCTCATAGCTGCTGAAGTGTTAAATTACAATAGGTTTGTAATCAGATCCTATGTATCTGCTTCTTTTGTGGTGTCTTCTTGTACATCCTGAAACTTTGGTTAACAGTGCATATATTGCCTGAGTGAGGAATGAGTAAGGCTTGTTGGACATGGAGATTAATTCTTGGTTTGAGATATCTGGAACTATTAAGCACTATTTCTGACATTATTCTCCAGACCAGTAGTTTAAGCACTGTTTGTGCTGCTCAACACTGACACATTTAATTTCATGGAAGAGTCATAGAATTACAGACTAAGCTGAGTTCGAAGGGACCCATCAGGATCATCAAGCCCAGCCCCTACACAGAACACCCCAATCACACCATGTGCCTGAGACCACTGTTGAAATGCTTCCTGAACTCAGGCAGGTTTGGTGCTGTGACCACTTCCCTGAGGAGCCTGTTCCAGTGCACAGCCACCCTCTGGATGGATATCTTTTCCTGATAGCCAACCTAAACCAGCCCTGGCTAGCAGCTTCATGCCATTTCCTTGAGTCCTGACACTGGTTAGAAGAGTGAAGAGATTGGTACTTGCCCCTCTGTGAGCAAGACAAAGCACAATTAAATATAAAAAATACATTTTCCAGACTCTGGAAGGTTGCTGGTGTCTGTAACTAAACCTGTCTTGCACTCTTTACAGGACTGCCAAAGAGAAGAGATGGATAATCAAGTTTTGTGTGCTCATATAAGGATGCGTAATCTGCTTTAACCTTTCTTCCTCTGTGTTGTTAAGCATCAGTAATGTTAAAGCTAAACAGCTGGAAGCAGTTTTATCACTTTGCAACTGTGCCTGGCCGTGTACCACAGGTGGGCCTTTTGAAGCCAGGGAATGCTGGCAATTGCAGTTCAGGCTTTTTTTGTTCACTGGGACATCACACCTTTAACCAATCAAGACTGGTGAGCTAACAAGTGAGAGGGACCTCCTGTTGTCTTCAGTGGTTTTTTACTTCACAGCTTCCAGAAAAAATGATTACTACTACAAAAAAAAAACCAACAACCTCAACCCAAAACCTCAGCACAGCATTTAAAGAAGTGCCTGTAGAGAGTATAAATCAAACTGGTCACTAGACAGACCATAAGCTTTCAAAAGCTTTGGATGTTTTTCCCAGAAAAATACAAAGGTCATTTTTAGAAATGTACTAATAGGTATGATTTTTCTGAGATGCTGATGTGGGAACAATCAGTATAAACAGTCCAGGAAAGAACAGAAGAAATGTCAGATTCACCTTTAAGAACAAAGAAATATTCTGATAGCTTAATAACACGTTTGCCTTGTTCTGAGCTTAAACGGCTTAGTAAACCTGAGCTGTCCAGGTGTTTCCTCAAAGCTGTGCTTGTGCATTTGGATGACTTCAAAACACATAGATCTTCGAAACTGGCTGTGGTTGTTAATAGATACCTTTGAGCACAGGTTACAGTGTCTTCCCAGATGGTAATTAAATGGTTAATTTAAACCAAATTTCTGCACACTTTCATCTGGTTTTCATGTGGAGTATGGTGGAGTTGCCAGTGTGTAACACTGGGTGCTGTGTTGGAGAAGGTTTTTAAGTGTTCATCAATAAATTATGTGTTTGAAGTAGGTAAGAAGTCAGTTCTTTGCAAAGTTTGGCAGTATAAGGACACTTAAATCTGTCATCAACACTTTTAACAAATACTACCTTGTCTTGTAAATTATTTTAGTGAAAGCCTAATTAATAATACCTGTGGACAAGCAGATTAATCTCACCTAGGGATTGCTTGCAGCTGTTGGTTCACTTTCTCAAAGTCTTGCCAGTAGTGTCCAGGATCCTAGAAGGTGGATTTTGTTCCATGGACATCAACTACTTAATATCCATTTCAGTAGGCATCTGCTATGAGCAAAGGACAGGACAGAAGTTGTGCCTTTATAGGCACAAATTTCTGCTTTCTTGTTTATTTAAGTCTTGATGTACATACATACTGAGCATAGGTAATGTGATTTACCTGTTGTATGATGTAGTACCATTAAGTTTTGATGTTACTAGATTAGCTGTATATTGTATTTTGCTAAGTATATGCAAGAAAATTAACAATTTCTTTAAGCCCTAAATTTGCTGGATACAAAATCATTACCAGGAAGACCTTAGAGGAGGAGAAATAAAGGGGATGTGCTACGGGGGAACGTTGTTCTTGATCTGGCTCCTGGCTGATCTTGGACACATGGCTTTCTCTTTCTCTCTCTTTTCCATTTGCTAAATGTAGCTGATTACCTCTTCAAACAGAACAATTTGATATCTCCTGATAGAAATAACAACCAATTCTTATCTAGGGTTATTATTCAGTGAAACATCCATAAGGGGTTCTGGTAACAATGAGACATAATTTTAGTTACTCACAGATAAATCCCATGTCCTTAGCCATGACTTTGCTGTTCTGTTTTAGTATCTCACTGACTCGTTTTTAAGTCTTAAGATCCTTAAAACAGACCAGGTACTTTCACTTCATTGAGCAACTTCATTGTTCTTAAATGCCAGAGATGTAGGTGATAGTCCTGAGTAGAGCATATGAAAAGCAACTATGAGGATCATGGATTTGCTGCAAGAATAACTTCAGAAATGGTATTAGCAACAGCAGTGTGTGTGTGAATGTGCTACATGATGAGGGGAGAATCCCAGTTAAAGTGTTGTTGCTAAACAAGTGACAAAGACCTTGCAAACAGTATGAGAATGTAGGCCAACTGTGATTATATAAATAATAAATCAGATCTGGTCTGCTACCTCCTACACATAGGGCTTTCTCACCTATTGTCATTTTTCTAACTTCAATTTAATTTGTCTTGGTTTTTTTCCCCCCAGCATTTACTAAATGCTGTCAAGAAACTGGTGTTCTGATGGTGGTCAAGTGTCGGCAGGAGAACACAGCACTGAAGGACTGTCTGGTTGGCTAGTAAGTCCCTCATGAGTTTTTGCTGGGTTTTTGTGCATGCCTGTACTAATCTAGAAATGTTAACTATTCTGAAAAGGGCTGTGCAGGGTTAGAGACTTGGATGTGTTTTCTGAAAATGGTATCTTTGCTTTATTAAAACCATGCTGGTCAGGGCCCTAACTGACAAGATCGTATTTCCCATATGAATATATGGCTACAGAGACTCTCTTCTTGATTCACCTGAGAGCAAATTTCAGTCTAGAGGACCTGCAGCCCTTTATCTGCTCTGGTACATCACAGATGTGGGGATAGGAGCACACAGTGAAGCTTCTTCATAATCTGTTAGAGACAGGATAAGTTTGTTTTCATTTTGCTTCTGTTTTTTAAGATTTAGTCTGTCTTGAAAGTGTCCTGCTGTTGCGAACAGCAGTAGCAGGAGCAATGGGAAATTGTTATATATGAGAAGTCAACTCAATGCCATGGTGGATTGAAACATCTTTTTTGGAAGTCCTAATTTACCCCCAGTGCCATTAGGCTGAAGTGTTAGGTTCTTGAATTTCCCAGGGTGCAGGCTGTGAAATTTTTGAGTTTGACTGGGAGGAAAAAGGAGGTTGGTTTGGTTTTTGGTGTGTCCTCCTCTCTAAACCAGTGATTTAGATTAAAAATAAATGCCTTTGAATTAGTGAGAGTTACTCTCAAGTATTTAGGAACTGATAAAAAAATATATGCAGCTAGGCAAGAATTTAGGGCCTAACTGCAGTTAGAACTTGCTGGAGTTACTCAGTTTTACTTGTCTGTTCCTTCAGCTTTTAAAAAAGATATAATTAAATAAAATGCTTCTTACAAAAAAAGGTTTCTAGTGTTGAATAGTAATATTTAAAAAAATTATGAGAGAAAGGAATTTAATGTAATGATCAACGACCTCTATATCTACTGTTGAAGACATACAGTTGAACTTATTCCCAGTAGTTACTTGGGTGCATTAAAAAAATAAGTCAACTTCAGCAGCTTCCCATGCTCATGAGGGTAACCACAAATGAATTCTGCAGCTGAACTTAAATACCAAATGTGTTTCCCTTTTTCTGCATTTCCTCTTGGTGGCTTCACTTCAGAGGCTTGAAAAGGACTGTGCTTCAAAAGAGAACAGTATCATGACAGATACCTCTTTTTATAAAGTACCTAAGTGTTAAAGGTATTTTACTGTTAAAGGCAGATGTGTGTGAAAGGAAGATCAGTTATGAGTGGTACTCATGCAATATCTGTTCAATATTCCAAGATGAAAAACAATATGTATTTTTCTGTCTTGTAGCTATTCTGATCCATCATTCTATGAAGAATGCAAAGCAGAATATTTGAAGCAAAGAGAAGAATACAGAGCAACTGGAATTAAGAAAAAAAGACAGAAATTTACTCAAAATGTGTGATTAAAACTTAAAATGAACTTTTTTTATATGCAATTTGGATTTCACTTGATTTAAACAGACTTAAATTGTCTGTACCACTCTGTGTGGCGTTTAACTGAAACATGCAAAATGAGAGGAATGGAGAATAAAATAATGTCTGAAATTAAGAGTCAATTTAAAACCTTTTTGTAATTAAAGATCTAGAGCATGCTACCACAGTTAGCAAGAGAGATTACAAAGGCGTGTTCCTTTATCTGGACTTGAGATTTTGTTACCAGTGTACAATTTGGAGTTTACAATTCCAGAATGTCCATTCTGAATTTAAAGCCTGTATCTAGCTACATGAGCCAGGCTACATAAAAACTCGAGGGTGAGTTAAGTTGTATCAGCTGATCACAGATGGGGTGTACACTGAAGTTGGTCTGTTAGTCACCATCTGAAGCTGATTGTGTATGGAGATGCACTTACTAGAAGAGAAGGGTGGCAAATGCAGAAGAACTACTCAAACCAATGTGAATTACCCTCTTCATTAAAATGTTGTCAGATGAGAGCCTGGTAGTACCTGTGCCTGCACTGTAACTCATTTTTAAGTCTACATTGTGACTCACTTTTAAGCCTACACTGTCAGAAGGGATGGATGCCTTGCATTTGTGCGTGGCCCAGACTGACCATTTCAACTCTAGAGGAGAAAGTAATCTCAGCCAGACCTTCCCTGAGAACAGAGAATAAGCTGCTATGCTTTGGAATGAATGAGTGACCACACTTGCAAAATTATTCCAGATAGAGGTGAGTAAACAACTCAACCAGGCATGGAAGATACAGATCACTGCTTGCAGGAACTAAGCATGTCCCTAATTTAAAAAGATCACACAAATGATCTTTCGTGTACTGATAGTTGAAGCTGCTTAATTGTAAAATGCTTCAATATCTTCACTAGAGATTACTAATATAAAGTTTTAGACACTATCTTGGAGTATCCTCCAAGCATTCTGAAATAAAACTAAGTTCTTAAACTTGGTAACTCTAATGCCCTGATTAGAGAAGAAAAAAAGTAATTTTCTGAGTAATGAGTTGGATTTGATACTGTTCCTTTAGAAGAGGAAACATTTTATTTATTTTAATACTGTTTCACCACAAACAGTATTCCTCTGTTCAAGGAGGAAATTAAGATTGACACGTGTATATGAAGGACTTTATGGTGCAGGTTAGTCATTGCACTTCATTCTGTGCCTTTTACTGGATTAATCATTAATAATGTTGCTTCAGCAGATTGGGTGGAAGACTGGATTTGTGGGTGACAAACTGAAATAATGTCTAGCATTCTGCCTTGCTAGGCAATTTTAAGGGGCACTCAGCTCTAAAGCTAACCACCTTATGTGGAACAGTGTCCTACACATGTTCTCAGCTTCTTAGCTCAGGTGTTTAGGAAAACAAAAATCCCAATTAGTTGTTGTGCTGTATGTACTTTAAAAAGGAGGAAATTTAAGGTAGATGGTGACACATGTTTTTTAATGACAATGACTGGGTTTTGTCCCACTAGGAAAATTTGCTGTATTTCCAACCTCTGGAAAGCCAGCCTAGGTGTTTGAAAGTGTTGGCAAAAGCCCTTGCCCAGAGGATTGGGGAGGGGGTTGTGCATTCTCTTGGGGGCAGTGCTGGGTGCTGCCAGTGGTGTGTGCCTGCACTGAGGGCGCACCTGGGTCAAACTCAGCTATGACTCAGGTCTGAGTCAGACAACAACACCAGCAACGGAGGTCTCCATTTGTGTGCAATTGTGTGCAGCAGGTGAGGGGAACCCCCCAGTGCAGTGACCAGGACTGCAGGGGAGGAACGGATGTGTGGAATGGAACAAAACTCAGGTGAACCTGCAGGTATCGCTCCCCACCCTTCAATACAGGCTGTATGTGAATGGCAGCCACAACTCACATCTGTATGATGTCACACCTGAAATTCATCTACTGAATGCTACAGTCAGCCATTTATTTCTCTTCTCCTACATCTGGATTGTTGGAGCTCCTCCATTTTACTCTGTAATGCACTCAGAGCAGGGATGGGCCCTCGGACATGGATCAGCTTCCTCTATAATACACCTTTGGCTGTAATGTGATGTTCTCTAGCTTTGCATTCTTGGTTTCACACCTTTCATTTTCTTAGTATCTTATGCATACATATCCTGTACTTGAATAGCATTTACATCTTTTATTTAAAATTTAAATGAAAGAATGAGTACCATGACATGACAAACTCATACCACTGAATTACTTTCGGTTTTGGTTGTCTCAGCTGTAAACTCCTTTCTACTCAGGTTAACTGGAGGCAGTCCTGGATTCTAATCAGTGCAAGAAAACACAGCACAGGGGCCTATCTGTCCTCTTCAGAGCACTCGGAAAGCACCCAAGACACCCCCATTTTTCACTTGAGGCTGCACTTGCTGGCTGTATTAAAGGTCTCTTCAAAGTCCTTAGGGAGCCCCTTACAAATGGAAGATCTGAGAGGAAAGAGGGAGAAGGTGTCATATACTTAATTAAAAGTTTGTCTTCAGAGAGTAAAACCCAGACTTGGAGGGAAGATGAGGGGCAGTTTGTAACACACAGGGTTTTCAAAGGACAGTGAAACAGCCACTGCAATCTGAGATATCACCCAGAAATTAACCTGGAAGCCACAAACCCATTCTGCTCCACATTTAGTATGGCCATACTCCTTGTCAGTTAATTCCTGCAAGTAATTCCTCCATCTTGTTTACTCTGCTGATGAAAAAATGGTCAAATACACTTGCAATATAAGTGTTCCGCCTAGTTAAAAATTGGTACAGTAACAGTAAGCACCTGGGTGTTTCTTGCATGCTTCTCTCTAGATCAAACAGCCATACTCAAACATGATCATCTTACCACTTTCATTACTGTATATTAATGTTTGACTTGCTCTCTTCCATCTTAAAATACAATTAAAATAATTTTGCTGGACAGCTAATGCACAGGGTGGTTTTTTTAATGGTTCACCTGCAACTCAGTTAAAATTAGTATTTGCCTTTACTGAGGTCATAAAAAAATAAAATGCTTTCATTGATTACCCTATGTTCATAAAATTGAAAATAGTAATACCACTCTTCCTAAAGAAAAAAGGTTAAAGAGCCTGACTCCTTAAAACCTCAAAAAATTATTTAAAAAAAAATAAAAAATCAACCTCCCCCACATCCTTTTTTATACTCAAACTACACAGAGAATCAGGGAAATACCTTAGACCTCTGTACCACTGTCCTTCACAGGGCCTGTCTGGAGAACAGAAGACAATACAGGTGTCAGTCAGGTACCAGAGCTCTTCAGTCTTCCTTTACCAACTCACAGCATCATTGGAGCTACAGGTGTCTCAGCACAGGAGTGTCAAGGTCTGCTTCAAGTTGGTTTTGGAAGGAAATTCACTCTGCTTTATCCCACCAGTATAGTTCACGTGATAATTACATGGGCCTGTGTTTCATTACTTGCAATGGGTATTGTTTTACTGTAACTCCACCATATGTCTCGTGCTGCTCTTGTTTTTTTCCAGCTGTAAAAATTGGACAATGCATTACAGCTAATTTGGAGGTTTGCTTTCTTCAATATGGCTAGTTCACATCTGAGAAAAACTAATCGGCTGTACACCACAAAACTGGCAGGGAAAATTAAAATGATCAGATTATGAAAATACTTGAAATTAACCAAACAGTGCAAGTTTACATATAAGTTACAGAAGGTTCATCCAACTCACGAAATACCCAAATACGTATTCATCAGGTTGCCATCTGCACGTTTAAATCTGCAAAGCAACAACCTCCTCCTGCCCCAAAAGCTGGCTTTAATTTCTGTTAAATAGGGTTAGTGCTTTCTTAAATTAAAAATTGTCAAATTGGTGGGTTGGGGGAAGTTCTGAAATGTTCAAAGTTTGCACTCAAGTTAAAAGTTTCTTGGGGTCATTTCACATAATTATTTGAGAACTTTGGGCATTACTACATGCAATTTTACAGTTTCATGTAACACATGCACATTAACACCAGAGCCCCATTCCTACAGCTAGTTCTCCATGTAATTTGCTGTCACTGATGAAAAGATTTCACTTCTGCAAATGGAAAAAGCACTGTAAGCCATTAGTGGTTTGGATTTAAATGACTTTCCCATCTTCAGTCAAAATCTGATTGTAAGCTTTGGACCAACAGATGCTTCACAAGCCAGGGAGCTCCCAAGTGACTCCAAATCTGGGGACTTCCTTTTCAAATGTTACAGCTTGGACATGGCACTGAGTGATTGGATTGGAAATGCTGCCTGCAGCAAGCTCTCTGACATCAGCTCCTGTCTCCCTAGTTAGCAGCAGTGCTTCTGAAGTTCTTCTCAGCAAACATTGCTACTCCCTTCTCCAGCATGGGAAGGAGCACAGAATATAAACCAATGGTCAGATGCAAAACCTGGAAATTCTCAGGCTCTGTGCAGAAAACCGTAATTTTAATTTCACACAGGACAGAACAGGCTGACTGGGAACCTTTTGACAGAAGTAGTCAAAGCAGCATAGCTTAAGTAACTAAATCCTTCAGGTTTCAACTTCCAGGAAGCTACTTCTCCCAGAAGATGTTTAAGCAGGCTGCAGCAGATGGCTGTTTTTTTCTCTTGAGTCAAAGAGATGAACCTCAAATCTAATTGTTTGTATTTGGAATAACATTTACACACAATAAAGGAATTAAAACTTCAGTAAAAAATTTTGTGCCAAATAGGGAAAGATTTGTTAGTGAAACCAATTTCAAACAAAAATAAATTTATTTAATATCTTACACAGTAGAATTCCTTCATTGCACAAATCATATTAATGCCTGTTGGATATTACATTCCTTATTAAAAAACCCTCTAACACTGAGGTGGGGAACCCCAAAAGTAAGCTACATTAGAACTAGGTACCATATAGCTTATGCAGCCACATGAGAAATGTTTCTTTGTTATTACATAGGTAGTTGGTTCTATCAGCTAAAGCCTAGTGACTTGGATTTGTTTTATGCATATTGGATTTTGTTCTATTACTTTCCAAGAGATTGTACTCCCCTGAGTCAGCTGTGTTCATTGGTCAGAATAAATTCCAGCATCTGACACCATTTCCATTAATCACAGACAAGCCAGTATACGTGAGCAAGATAATAGAAAAATAAAAACAATACCTGGTGAATGGGAAACATTGTTTATGTATGCTGTTTGTACTACAGGAGAAGATATCTGGAAGGCATATTTTTGCCTTTGATAGACAAAGTGAAAGATGGGCTCTGTCTGAAGTACTTACTGTGCAGGGGAGTGTCTGGAACCACACAGATCACATAGCACCCTCATAGCACTTCTACAGCCCATCATTACTAAGGCTGTGCTACAGCCAGAGCTTCCCCATGTATTTGCAAGCAATCTTAAGATAATTTGCTTCTAAACAGCTGTGAAATTAATTTTTATTACTTTGATGTTAAGCTGGATCTGTGAAGCTGAATACTTCACCCACCCACACATCTGTAAATAGCACATTCAGTATTAAATATCTTCCTGCCCATTACAAGTTAGGTATCATGCATCTAAAATACAATGCATTTTTCTTCAACTTTTTTGAACAGTCAAGACATTTCACTTAACCCTGTTGTATTAATCCAGATATGAAGCAGAGAAGTTTACAAAACAAACAAAAAATAAAGTATAAATTATATTTGTTTAGAAACAGTTTATGGCCTTAAGAGGGAAAAAAAAAAAAGAAAACATAGTACCTAGACACCCATAATCTATAAAGCGGTTAGTTGGAATTCCAGAAGCTCTGGTTCTCGGTGGCATACTAAAGACACCACAAAAACACTTATTTTTGTAATCAACAATGCAACAACACCAAGTCTGATTAAATTAAGGCTTTGTTTCTTTAACAAAAGGAAAGTTAGTAGCCTTCACCACCACAGGAATAAAGAGTCAGGGCTGTGGTGCTGTGCAAAGGAGGCACGATATGGAAAACTGCACTGTGGGCCTGCTGGGTCTGTGGCAGCACCACTGTGCAGTTACAGCAGCTTCCTTCAGCAGGAACTGAGGGAAACAAGATGAACCTCCAGGATTCACAGTGTTCAGCAGCATTACTTACGGTCCTTTGCAATTCACAATCAAGCCCAAAACGAGGCAAACAGAACAGGATAGCCTAGGGGTGATTTTTATCTTGCCACTATCTCATATAAACCAAGGTTGAAAAAAAATAAAAATAAAAATTCACTTTTCTTGGTTAGAAATTACAGAAAAATGCATTTACAAATGAGAGGAATCAAAGCTAATTGAAAGGAGGAAGGAAGAGAGAATCCAATTCTTCATATTATGTCTTTTTCTGAAAAAGAACACTGCCAAAATATAAGCTCAGAGCTGGTGCAAATTCTAACACTGGATACCAAGTATTTTCTTGATTACATACAAATAGCAAACAAATACAGAACTAGATTATTTTGTTTTATTCCACAAACTCACTTTTCAGTGTAACCTTTAGCAAATGTATGTCATTTGCAGTACAAGACTATCTAGGCTCCATGCTAGATTTCTTTGTATTTACATTATACCAGCACAGCTTTAACATCAAGGAACTCACTCCCAATTTACAGCAGAGAAAGACTAGGCTTTCTGATTTGGAACTAGAATTAAAAATAAAGAAAGAACATTTCAAGCAATTTGTTTTCTCCCCTTAAAAGTTCGAGCATTAAGGTGCCTATTCAGAATCACTCCAAAAATGCCTCAGTTCATTCTAAAAATTGTTTAACTCTTGTGCAGACAGTTTTGATTACACCGATCCAGGTAATCTGCTGGACAGTTTAACAAAGTTGGATTATTTTTCATTTCCCAAAACATATTCTCATTGGGCTTTGGAGGACTTGGGAATACCCAGGAATTATCTTCCAGAGAGCTCTTTCCATAAGAATGGTGTTCCTGAAACGTTTTGCCATCAGCTGGAATTGGTCTCTCATCTGTCCAAGCTTGTAGGGTCACCCTTTCTGATGGGACCTGGGCATCTCTCAGCAGAGGGGGAGACACAGCATTGCCAAGGGCTTTATCGTTTTGTGAGAGGTTTTTAGAGACTACCCCAGATGTCAAATTCAGCTTTGAAATGTTCAAGTCAACACATTGCACTGGTGCAGTACAGGCAGCTGAAGGAAGAAGATAAAAAAAGATTTTTAAAATTACATTATCTAATGCATTTTTCATGTACTCCAAATGTACTACAGTCTAGCAGGGATGTTAAACACAGTTTCTTCAAGCCACAAGTTTTCAGACCATATTCAGTAACTACTTGAAAGCTACAAAAAAACATACTACCCTCACCAATCTCAAGATGATCCCAAAATCCTGAAATCACTGTCTAAAACACACCCAACTCAAAGGATATCTCCCAACTCCCATTTCAGCACAGATAAACTGATGGATCTTTTTGACCAGACTGAAATGAATACTGAGACAGAGACCATTTTCATAGGCTTGGAGAAATCAGCCAGACGCAGAAGACTGAATGCTGCTCCCTATTCTCATCCTACCCAGAACCCAAATTCTCACTGCCCTAATGAAGCAGTAAGAGGGAAACACGTGGTCTTCACAGTTCTCTTATCTGACTTTCAAAAGTAAAGTGACAGACTGCAATGTTCAGCCATGTGAAATTCCAGAGGAGTTTTAAACTGCTAGGAAGGGGGGGTATTTTGAAACAGAACAGCATCTACCTGAAAAGGAAAGGCTGCACCTTCAACACACATCTGAACATACGGCCAAAATACAAGCAGATAATTTTGTTTTGGAGTGATAATGTACATAATCGTGTAATCAGAGTAGATTAATGCTTCCTGCAGTTAAACTCACATCTATGTAGAGTTTTCTAGAGCAGCTGTTAATCTTGAGCATGAATTGCAGTCTTTAGCTCTTAAAGGACAGAAAAAGCAGCTGATATCTTGGTCAAAGAATATAACTTCTGTTTGTCACAATAAATTAAAATTTGTGGATGTCAGCCCAAACCACCTTGCAATAGCAATGGGCATCATGTCTGAAAGACATGCTAAGGCACTGGATTTGGTGTCTTTGTGCTGGCAGGTGCAATTTGATGCCTACAGACCTTTAGAATTTAGAATTTCAAGAAAACGTGAATCCACTGAAAATAGATTGAAAATGTACAAAAAAAAAAACCACACAAAAAACCCCCCAAAATAAAAAGAACACAACATAAAAACACAAGAAGAAAAAAAAATAAACTAAAAACCCCACAAGCACACACATTTGTTGAACATGCCTCCATACATAACAGCGAAGTAGAAGTTAATGGATACTGTTCATATCCCACACAAAGTAATGAACAAGTGTTCTGCAGAATTAATGCACCTCTGACAACGGCAGTTGGTTTGTAGATGCTAAAAGTCAGTACTGGAGGTATAGGAAGTGGAAGGCTTCAGTCAATTATACCCATATTTTGCAGAAGCCAAGATTTGTCTATAAATATAAGCAAAGAGATATATCTGTATTGCATTTATAAGTGTGTCTGATGACTGAGATCAGACCTGTCCACTCTCACATACTTCTGAAAAATTACTGAAAAAAGTCAACAGATGAAAAGACAAAAGGCCAGTTTCTGATCAATCAAGAATGACTTCTAATGGCTCTAGATGAACAACTGTATAAGGACTGCAGAAAACTAGACTCCTCACTAAGGAGAAGAGAAAAATCAATAGTTGTAGTAGTAAGACAGGTAACTCCAAATTAAAAATAAGGACATAAAGACAGTATATGCTCACATCAAATCTTGACAGATCTAAGATTATTTAGACTCATTCAGTTCCCAGTTTCTCTGCTGAATTTATTTGACAGAAGTGTTTTAGAATTGTAGGAACACAGTGGTTACAATATGGCCAAGTACAAAATGGGTTGACAGTTTGTATCAGCCAAGTACCAGAGACAAAGTGATCATTAGTCACTGCTGGCCACAAAGCAGGGACTGCTCGGGAGGTGAATCCTGTCATTACCTCACTGAGCTGTTTAGAAACAAAATGTCTTGATCTGGTAATGGACAGGGACAGCAGAGACTGTCCCCAGTACATTGCAACCAGCTTCACTGTCTTCCACCAGTATTCTGAACACAGTAAATTAAAGTGAGCAGAAAACAAAGGTAATTAACTCTTTACCACAGTTTGTTTGACTGATGGGCTAGCATTTGACTTAAGAGAAGCAAATGTATGGAACAGAATAACTGTCTGATGACGTGCTCACAGAAATTTTAAATATTTTATGTGAAAAACATTTAACCCTTAAAATTATTAAAGGCAGTTTTGCTTCCCCAGTATTCTGACATTCAGAAAATGTCACACTGTGTAGCATTTTGTTAGAAAAGACAACTTTTCTGAATACAACCTAAAGAAGTATGGAACAGTAAGGGAATTTCAATCTTCTAAAGTTTGATTTTAAAATGTTGCCAATTTTTCATATATTCTGTACTGGGAAAATAAGACTGCATTTGCAAAAAGATTTTTCCCCCCATAATATGAAGTAGTTGTGGTAAAAGGTCAAATACGAGTAAACTTAACACCTCAGCCTTGTGCACATAAGCAACACTTGACTGAGAAAAAAGCCACAAGGGGAACAGAATACAGTACTGAAGAAAAAACACATCAGCAACACCTTTATGTGTGAAGTTGACCAGTATGAGACAGAAGCAAAAGCAGAAAATGGGTAAGCTGGAACCATAATACAGTCTAGCTTATCAACTTCAATTGATGAGATTCTGATAAGATACGATAGCTAGTTTATTTTTAAAATGATACAGCTTGAATCAACTGTTAATGCAAACACTGACTTGCCTTTCTTGGCTCCTGGTGGGTTCCTTTTCAGTTTTTGGAGGACCTCAGCTTGCTTGTCAGTCACTGCACGCAAATTAGACATTTCTCTCTTCAGGTCCCAATATGTTTGCTGCACGCTTTCAAAACAAAAATTGATTACAAGTTAAATATTGTTGCCTCTAAAGCAGCCTGTTAACATGCCTGTTAATACCTAATTAACTGTTAATAAATTGTTCTTGCCTGCAAATTTTGTTAGAGTATTGTAACTGGAAATGGACTGAACTGTACAGAGAATTACCTTAAATGGATGGACCTTTGTATATTTTATTTGATTCTTGCCTATTAGAATATACACTGTAATATATCTTGACATACTAGGTAATAATAATAATTTCAACTCTGCAAAGAAAAGAAATATGAAGCATACTTTTCATTTCAGTATCTGAAACTAACCATCTTCCAATAAAATTAGCCATCTCAAAGAAATACTTTATTTAAAGTGACACCAGGTTATAAAAAAGGCAGAGTGTTAACTCTGAATGCTTTTCAATAAATGACCACACACCCCGACACATATAAGCCTAGTAATGTTGACTGATTGTAATTTCAAATAATCAAAGAACAGTATTTGGGTCTTATATCATACATGTTGCTACACTGAATTCAGACTAAATACCTGGGACCCAAACTGAGCATAAATACTGAGTCCAAACTAAAATAGAAACCATACTGTTTCATATTCAAGTCATCCAATTTATGTTAATACACTGCCTTATCAAACAGTGTAAGAAATAGTGTTCCAATTCATTCTCTGAGACAGCATAATACAAGAAACATATTTAGCAACAGCAGCACTGTTCCAACACTAATGTTTCAGGTGAATAACTGGTAAGAAAATTAAGAAAAAAAAAGAAAAAAAAGAGAAGTTAGCATTACCATATGTTTCTTGGTAAAATTTCTAGCAAAGGCTCACTGAATATCACATTTATGTTGATTGATAATTAATTTAGTGTTCAAAGACATAAGAATATAGTTACTTCAACTGAAACATTAACTCAATGATTTAATACATTTTTTAATGATTAACATTCTACCAAAACACATTTATTGAATACAAATATAATGGATGAGAGTTTCCAGAATTTTTTCTTCCTCACTACATTCACCTAAAAGGCATTTATTTGAAAACAGCTGAACATCTCAAGCTATTGAGATGAGTAAGAATTAATAAGTTTTATAACTGTATGTTATGCTATCCTTTGAAAATAGCAAAATAGGATCACTCCTGCATGAAATATCAATCAGGAGTGTGGTTCAGATTCACTCTGAGAAGTAGCTATTGTGTAAGTCAACTCTAAGAGATTTCCCTTAAAACAAAGAAATAGAACTTCTATCCACAGAAACACTTTCCCAGAATACAAACATCCAGATTCATAAAGCTCTGTTAAAGCTGATATTTTAATAAATAGTGTATTAAGTGTCAGCAGCAATTCTGACAGATAAAAAGTTAAAATTTTCAGAAATGATATTTCAAGAAGTTCAGCTAAACCTGTGGCCTTTCCATTGCAGACTTCTTCTGTCTCTTTGAACTCTTAAGAGATGACAATTTTAAAGCTGATGTGGCAACCATACTTCCTTAATTCTTGTGTTATGGTCTAAAAAATAAAATCAAAAACTTTATTTATATCAAACCAGAACTGTCCAATATTTAACACAGCAGTGGTAATAAAAGGACAGCTCAGTGTCTGCCACCAACCAGAAAGAAAGTGCTTGGATGGATTTTTAAAAGTGCATTTAACACTTTTACAAGCTTCTGGCAATGGGCTGCAGGTACCAGAATTCCACTTAAATCACATGCCACAGATTTTAATTGTTTTTGTGAATACTGACCTAGAATCCCATTGCAAAGCCTAATTTTCAAGGAATTTGTAACTGAAAACCAAGGATTTCCTGTGCCTGGAAGTTTATCCTATACAGCCTTCTAATATGTAATATGAACCTTCACTATGACAGCCTGTTTAAATCTACAGCAAATTAGATTTGCAAACTGAGAATTTAAAGTCAGATTTGCAGGCTGCTCACAAATATGAAATAACTACTTTCCAAAAAGTTAACTAAGTGCAAATTCCTCAGTTTCCTAGAAAAAGCAGGATTTCTTGCTGCAACAAATGTTTCTCACAGGAGGTTTTTCGAGTGTTTTCTCCACAGATTTTTGGATGGACTTACATATTTATTACATAATCAGTATTTATATTACAATAAACACTATACTGTCCATATGCTATTTTAGATGGCTGCCACCTGAGCACCACTTGGTGGAATAAATCTGCTCTGATCAATAATTATTTGATCAAATGATCCATTTGATCAGAGCAGTGATCAAAGAGATAACTGCTGTGTCTTGAAAGAACATCTTTTATCAGGTATGTGAGGCTGACTGCAAAGCTCCCAGAGGAACCACAGGAGCAAAGTATCCAGTCAAGGTGAAAGGACAAAGTGTGATTTGTGTGTAGTGTGTGCACTATTATCATCACTGCACCAGAGAACATACGATGGGAAGTGTCTGTATGTTCTCTTTCAGTGGCCGATCTCCCTTGCCGTCTCTTCAACACCCAAGGAAGCACCAAGGTGCCTTGCACTAAAGCCTGGCGTTCTGAAGGGCCGCTCTTCCCTCTGGTGGAAAATGGTGTAAGTGCACCAACAGGCATAATAACTATGTGAGTGATCATCGTCATCATCATCCTGAACTACAAACATAACAAAGAAAAAATGACAAATGATCTTGCTAAATAACTATGCCTAGACTTTCAATGAAATTATCTAATTTGAAATAACACACCTAAAGAGTCTGCAAGAATAATTTACTTGTTCAACTAACTGACCCTCAGTAAACTGAAAATAAAATATTTCATACCTCTGGATGTCTTGCCTTTGAATGTGGTCTCCATGTAATAGATTTTCCTTTTGAGCCTGGTCCTGCATAATAAAGCAAAGACAGACAATGAATGAACATGATTTCAGATCTTCTGTCTAAAGAAACAGCAGTGAAACTCCAGCTCCCTAATACTTTAAAAAATGAAAAATAGTTTTCATTTGTGTTAGCTGCAGTGAGTTTCAAAAGGGAAATAAAGACTTCTACTAAGAATTTCCACTAAAAAATGCTTAAACTATCTACTTATATAAAGGCATTGCTCAGTCACCTTCACACCCTTTTTTTTTTTAAACAGCTGAACTCTGAGATTACTTTTTTTTAATGGACATCAAAAGTATTTCTCAATTTCTGCTCTTTAAACAGTCTTTTTTGTTCTTTCCCCATCACAGTATATAAAGATCTTTAAGTTAAAGCAAACTGTTTCAGTATGGATTTACTTCCACAGGTTACTTTGATGACAGAACATAATTTATCCCTTCAGTCTGAATGACTACTTTAAAATTGCATGTATAGGCAGCCTCAACTGAATTTACCAGGGATGTTTAACAGATCAAACATTTGGCTCACTTTGTTAGCTGTGTTTCTAGCAGACCCTCACTTGTGATGAGCTCCCTCCCTTTCATATCCCTTCTTTCCATGTTCCCTTCCTAGCATTCCCTCTAGCCAAAGCTGTTATGGATTTGATACCTTTACAGCAGCTTTAAGATAGCCTGTACACATTTCAAGCAGCTTGTCAACACAATGTACACACTGCATCAACTACAATGTAAAACTTGAGTAAGAATATCTAAAAGTACACAGAAACAGAAAGTACACTCATCAAAGCTAGAAAACATTTGAAAACATGTTTTCCTGTCTTCATTTTCATTATTGCTTACTTTCATTACATGTTAGCTAAACTAACTAATGTAATGAAAATAAGTAGTAATGAAAATGCCAGCTGAGTTGAAATAATGCTGATTTGTCATTGCCCATTCACCACACTTGACTGTACTTCACCTTTCAGATTTTCTCTTCCTGAACTTTCTCACCATCTCCCAAAGATTCAAATTCATAGCTTAAAAAAAAGTTGTGCTGTATTACCCCACATTTGAAAGTATGCACTTTTTTATTTCCTGTATTAAGCAGTTACCAGGATCAAGAAGAAATTTTATTAAAGACAAAGAAAAAAACAAGAACCAAAAAAATAAAGCAACACAACCCCCCCAAAACAAAACGCTGTTCCCTGTACTTGTTCTGTGCAACAAAAGTTGCTGGCATAAACATTATTTAATAAAATGTCACACATAGTATTCCTTACAACTGGTATTTCAGTCTGTTCTGACATCATTCACTCTCACAATACAATCTGCAATTATTTATGCAGCTGTTCTGGAGTTACCTAAAGACACCAGAACTGCACACAAGTTACAGCAAGCCTTCAGATTTTACAAATTATTGGAAGCACCTGAAAGAGCTCCAGACACAAGTGAAACAACCAACAGAAAGGCAAGTCAATGAAACACCTCATGTGCTTTATCCCCACCTAGTGGAAAAAATGCAGACTCAAATGCTGTGTGATTCAACATTACAAAATCATCATTATTAATGACCATAAGGAATCTTAAACACTCTGCCTCCTCAAACAATCACATTTACATGTTTTACATTCACTGTGTAACTTCAATGTGACTGCAGAGTCCTAGAGACTGGAACTGTACCTTCCATCACAGGTAAGATGAAAAGCAGAAAGAATGTAGTAGACAGTAACTTACTGCTTTTTGTTACTGTTATCTTAATTTTCTTTTTGAGATCCTAACAACATCTAGGTTACAAAATGTGTCCCTCAAAACAGATAACTGCCCCAGAAATGGCAGGGAAGGGTGCCAAAAGAGGTACTTTCCTGACAAGCTTCATGTAACTACCCTAAAGAAAAGCGCCAGACCTCCTTAAACAAAGTTCATTACATCTTTTAACATTAGCATCCCGTTGTTTAAAAAAAATTAAAAATATTAGAGACCAGCTTTTTCCCAAACTTTCTTAGCAGCCCAGCTTACACAGAACTTCAGTGGCTACTTATAAAAAATCATAAAGCTTTATTTTCTGTTGTTATATGGGCAATGGCTGGGAAATCTCACCTGTATAGAATCATAGAATATATCGAGTTAGAAGTGACCCCTAAGGATAAACTTCAACTCCTTGCTCATTGCAGGACCACCTAAAACTAAACTTTAGGAGTGTCATCCAGACACTTCTTAAATTTGGACAGGCTTGATGACATGAAAACTTCCCTGAGAAGCCTGTCCCTATTTCCAAAAAATATGTCAGTCTGTGAAAATATTTAAATTTACCAAGATACTCATCTTTCACTCAATTGTATACTTTTGTATATTTTTGTATATATTCTGTATATATTTTGTTAACCCTTGATTTTAATTGACTGTGGGACTTAAAATTAACCATTAATACAAAACTTCCTTAAAAATTAAGGTACCTTCTGCTTGGAATTTTGCAACTCCTTCCTGAGACTGTTGCACTCTTCCTTGAGTTTTTCCAGATCCTGTTCCAGACTATGCACTTTCAGGTCACTGTTCAGCTTCTCTAGTTCCCAGTTAGCCTGAGTACAATTCAGACTTTTTATCACTGTAAAAAAGACAAGCAAGACAATCAGATTCCAATCTCAGTCCAAGGAATGCAACTCAATATCCAAGACACTCCTCATCCAGCCCATGCCCTACAAAAACATCATATTCTGAAGAAACTGGAGTCTATGGCAACAGGGAAATACAACACTGGTAATGCTGTTGGCAGAGGTGGTCTATTTTCTGGGTGTAAAGCATGGAGCCCTACTTTCTAGGAATGGACTGGAGATTTGACACAGAGAAGAAGGAAGTACCACCATATAAAGACACTGGAAATAGAAAAATCAATTTATAGCAAACACACACCATATATGCCAGCTTGCATACTTCTTATACGCTTTGAAAACACGAGCCTTTTTGCCTACAGATTAGTATTGTTACATCATTTACCATTAAGTTTTCCCCAAGTTTAATATCAAGAAGTTCCAAACAGAAAAATAAAATCAAAACAAAAGCGAAGAACATGAAAGTTACACAAGCTTATTAGACTGAAGCAATTCACACAGTAAGAAGCAACCTCAGCTGATGCTGCCATCAGATCAATAGTAGGGCGCTAGTGAGAAAGCAAGAAAAGGAGGAACATGACAAAAAGAAAAACCCAAGTTTTCAACTGCATGGTACACTTATTTCCAGATTTAATGGTTTAAATAACCTTAAGTTACACTGATTCTTTTTCTTTAAACAAGGTACTCGGAGTCCACTAATGAGTAAAATTGAGCTACAAATAAGGATTGAATCATCACATTTTCAGAGTTCTCCTTTACAAACTCTGCAATTCTTACCTCCTGAAACAATGAGGTCCTCAACAGTGATACTAGCACTACTTGCAGTTTTACATTACATGCTTAAGGTCCTCTTGGAGAGTAATCCAATTCAAGCACAGCCATAAGCAGAAGTGCCTCTCAAATGACTGCATTTGTACAGACTCTGAAGTCCAGATCTCTAATTTTATACAGATGGCATTTTCTTGTAATTAAATTAATCAAGGGTTTTTTCTTCCATAGTGTTTTGTTTTACATGTCAGTCACGTACAGAGTACAACATCTTGTATTTGTCATATTCCAACAGTGAGACAAAGCAATATACTAGACCTCTGCAGGTGCCAGAGGAAGTGGTATTGACTGAATGATCTTTATACTTGAACAGGCCTCTGCCCTGCTCTGAGGAAAAGGTGGTGGGGTCCAGAGATGTACATGATGACACAGCCTAAAAAGTGTCAGGTAGAGTCCATTTCTTTGTAAATCATCTACAGAGGAAGAACAACAGCCTCAGAACATACACATCATCATTCACAAGAATGAAGACAAGTTCAAAGTACTTCACTGCTGTTCATGCCTCTCTTACCTTGCCCCTACCTAAAGTTAAACCTCTTCATGCCCCAAGATCACAATATAACCACTACAGCTTCTCAACATACCTTAAGATGACGTAACCAAATGCATACCTTGCTGAGTTTCCACTTCAGTTCTTAGCTGTAACAGCTCTACTTCTTTAGATTGAACAGCTCTACTTCTTTAGATTGCAACTGTTCATTCAAGTTTTTCAAGGATTCCGCACTTTCTTTTGCCTATTTTTATAGGGGGGAAAAAACCCAACCCAAAATAATTTGTGAGGCAATTTTCATCATGACAATTTAATATTTTAGAACAATTACAAAAACAAAAAAATATTGCTTTGATTTTTTTTTTTGTTATTCCTACAGAAAGTATTGTCAGGTACTTTAAAAGAGTGATAAAACCAACACCACATCTTAAGTATGCAAAGTTCATTCTACAGTAAACATGTACTAACTATGCAGTATTAAAGCATGTATTGAAGTAATTACTTAGAAAGGCACACCATTTTTTCCAGCTTGCTTTTCAAATGATTGCGGTCGATGCAGGCCTCTCGATAGGCTTGGTAGGCCTTATTGACTTGTTCCCGCCCAACTGAGCTGCATTCCTCTTCCAGCCGGGAGCCAAGCACCTGAATGTTTAACACACAGGAGATGTAAGAAGTTTGGTATGTTATGCTGAGGACAGCAAAATTTTAAAAAGGCAATGGTACAGCCTGCAATCTTAATCTAACAGCTTTTCCTTTTATTTTAGTTTAGATAATAAATTAATCAAATACACTGATACAGGCTGAAGTTTTTTACAGAAGTGCATCAAAGGCTGTCTACAAATTCTGAAATCGCTAACAATACTTAATGCTCACTAATTTATAGAATCATGGTAGTTTGAGTTGGAAGAGGACACTTAAAAGCTCATCTAGTGCAACTCCTCTGCCATGGACAGGGACACTTTCCAGTAGACAGCTATGAGTTCACTCCTATGAGTACTTAAAAACTATTCATAAGTCATGATTACTCATACTGATAGATAATCCCTTAATGGTATTTTTTCCAGGCTCTGAAAAAATGTAAACTGTGTTTTGAAAAATGAGTTAAAACTAAAACTAAAAAGTTTTCTCTACAGAAAACAAAGTGTCATCTTCAAGAGAATTAAGCTGAACAAGGCCAAATCAAAAGACAAGGCAGGAGAAATTGTCAAGGTCAAATCCTGTTTATTGAGATTTTGAGTAGCCACATAAAAGATGTTACACTCAGGATTCAGAGAATATTAGGTCTAAAGCTCTATTCCTCTTCCCAACATCCCCCCAGACTTTATATAAAGGAAGTCCTGGGATAGTTTTGCTTTCTGAGAAAAAGTCATTCTTGTCTTCAACACAAATTCCTGAATAAGTGTTTCAATGCTGTATCAAGTGTAACTCAAGTTCTTCATTCCACTGCCAAAAAATAATACACAATTGGAAAGCTTTTAAGAGTCAGTACCATACAGTTAGGAGTAATTCCTAAAAAATGTCACAGCTCTAACACCAGGATATATCTTTTCTTCTTATATAAGAAAGCAGTCTATCCAAATCAAGAACTTCTGAAGTACAAAGACACTCAGTACTGAAAAATGGCTGTATGTTTAACGACAGCATTCATTACTTGGAGAGAAAATCTTGTGCCCTGGTCAATTTTTAGATTTAATGAACTTCACTAGCTTATGACCATGAGAAACTGCCTATAAAACAAATTCCAAGATTCACTTACATTTCAGAATTACTGCATCAAAAGCCAGCCAGACAACATCTATGTTAAGCATTGCAACTTTGTATTTCACACTTGAGGTTGTGATTAGCTAGACCTAGCTGAATATTCTTAGCAAACAATTTTTCCTTATAATTTTGGTGTGCTAAGCCTAGAGTCTTTTGATAGACAGTTCCTGGATTCTGATAATTTACAAGCTTTGCACTTCACTGTTCAACAATACTGTGCCACATGTGCCCAAGCTAATAAACACCATAAAGAGGCACCCAAACTACAGTGACAAATTCTATGCAACTACACATCTATCTGAATCTAAGCCACTGTCTTGGCATTGCATCATATATGTGCTCAGTGAGAATCAAAAATGCCAGTATGACACAACTACACTACCAGAGGAACAAACTGCATTTCATTTAAACAAATAAAACAATTCATAAAAACTTTTTAACATGGAAATTATTTCAAGAGTGTATTTCAAATCCTTAACCTTCTTCTCTGCCATCCAGCCAGGAGCAAGAAAGAAGCTGCTACAAGAAACTGGTACATCAACTATTTTCTTACCTTCTCTTCTAAAATTCTCACTTTTTTTTTTAAGAAAGAGTTCTCCTTCTCTGTCTCCTTCAGTCGTTTCTTGATATCTTCATATGCAGTGACAAGTGCAAAGTGTGAGGCAACAGACTCATCTCCACTATATGATGGAACAGGAATATCACTGTCTCTCTTGTGAGCATTGTCTGCTTTTTCATGGTTCAAAATACAGATGTCATCCTCTACCAACTCCTCCATGACAGCTGTTAAAAAGACAGATGTAAGTGCTAAGTTTTCACAAAGACAAATTCATCAAGAGTCTGAAAACCTTCCAAAATATTACTGCAGGCTGTTTTTAAGTATGACAAGGTGGAATAATCCTGAAGTATCTTAGTATCTCAGAAAAATCTTGAAATCCATTTCACCTTGAAAACACACTGTTTAGGAAAGATTCATTTCACTGTTACTTGATAAAAATATTTTGTGTACCTATCCGATGTATGAACCTTCAAACTCATTTTTAAGTCTTAACACCAATGTAGAATTTGGCTGGTACCAACTATTTGAACTCCAAAGGAATACTATATTGGAGCTTTTGCAAGCCAGCACTGAGCAGTAAAAGAGAGTATAGTTCCAACTATAGAGTATAGAATCAACTAACTCCTGTGATTCCTGAGCACAAGTGCCAAAGTTCCTTTATTTTTGAATAATTTATTTTTGTTTTTTCCCAAACTTTAAAATGGAATCTTAAAGTACACTTGTATTTGTCCTTAGAGAGACTGCCTGAGCAGCTATTCTTTTCTTGGTCACAGTAGAAAACCTCCTTCTGAACAACAATTACAGTAATTTTGGACTGAAAATATGATGAGAATGAAAACATGTACAGTGACATGGCCTGCCTCAATATGCGTGGAGAAAACTTACAATAATCTGACAATTAGTAAAATATCACTCTAAAATACCAGGCAGATCCACCTGAATGACAAATGCAAAGTAGATGTCAAAAGAAACTGTCAGAAACTGAGTTTCTGTTACAATCTACATCTTTCAGGCACAGCAAAACATTCAGTAAGAAAACACCATCTTAAAGAAATAGTATATATTTTCTTGAGCAACAGGTCTCAAGGGAAAATCCCCAAAAGCATTTTCCTTAAGAGTTACAAGTTATCTGGGACAAGTTCTGGGGTTTTATTTAAAAACAAGCCAACCTCCAAAACACAAAACCTACCAACCAAAAAAAGGCACATTGCATTTAGTTATGAACATCAAGATTAGTTGTATTCCTATGCAATACTAAGAAACACTACAAAGTGCCTGATAGTATCAACCCCATTTAAACAAGCTAGTGATATGACTTCTACAAAAAGCAGACTTATTTTTTGCCCTTCAACAAATCCTTAGGTTCCTGATGCTGATAAACAAATAGCTAATATATAAATAAATAGCTAATAAACCAACAGATGTGCTGGAATGAAAGAACTAAGCATCGTGAAGACAGCTTTTTCTACTGCAGGAAAAACTTACTTCAACAGAAAACCAACTTGATCAGCAGAACTTTGCAGAAAAGGCAGGCGTTAGTGCAAAAAAGCCCCACAGCCACAATTGGTGCTTCTACTGTGTATTTGCTATTTGAATTCAAACTAGACTTCCATTTGTTTATAGATTACAAGAAGTAAAGGTCTGGAGCTTGTCTATATGGTCAAATTTCTCTCACCATGCTGGAAAGCTTTCAGAGTGCAGCATTATGAAGAGCTGTAGTGCAGCTACTGCTGAACAATGGTGCTGTTATCACATTTGTCTCAATTTGCTCCAAGCCAGTTAGACAACATGATAAAAAATTGTGACAGCTCATTTCTACTAAATAAGACAGCAGTGGAGTTTTTCAACAGTGAAAAGAAGACAAGAACACTACAAACCAAAGCTGAACTCCTTTTAATATTTATGTTCAGGAGGTGAATAGATACCTTCTACATTGTTTGATGCTTTCTGACAAAAAAGTAGCCTAAGCTTCCCTTGCTTGTTGTTCTACCTTGAATATTCTGCAATTTCTGTGACATTTAAGTAGAAAGAACCCTGCAAGAATGGTTTGCTTCCTTTTCACTGTAAGAACAGTATCACTCCATGCACAAGGTGACCTTGACCAAAAGCACCACATCATTCAAACTGCATTAAATGACTGAAGGAATTGCTCATTTTGTCTTCCAAGATGAGCATAACATACCAGCTTATCCTCCCCCATTTCACCAAAGGCCGTGCAAGTCTTGTCACCCATCTCATCAAATTCCCAAGAGCTTGCCCTTTCAAGGCAACACATCTCCTTTTCTCAGAACACTTGACTCAAATGTTGTTACAGAAGTGTCACAGCTTATCATTATCTCTCGAAGAAAGCAGCAGATTTGTGACCATGTACATAAAATAGATCTTTGTCCCCTTGCTTTCCTATAGCTCCTAAACCTGAGCGTCATAATTCCCTATTTCTTGCACACATCAGTGCTACCAGGAGATGGCAATATGAGAAAACAGGACCATATTTATTCAGCATTTTGTTAACTAAAAGTGCCTTTATGAGCTTCCAAGAGAGTAACACCATCCAAATAAGACTCAGCATAAACGAAAACTATTTTATAAATTTAAGTACACACCTAACCTGCACCTGCAGGAAGACCAGTTACTCTAATTTTTTTTTTACTTGAAAGTAATTTAGTTTATTTAGTTTAGAGGAGTTTTAGATTCAACTTGGGTTTTCTAATGCTGCTCTCTAAGCCAGAACTGGAAATTATTTAGAAGAGAAGCATATAATTCCACATAATTCAAAGGGACTTTGTTTGCATGCTTTTCTAAATTTCTACATCCAACGTAACAGTTCGAAAAATCCAATACACACATTTTTAACTAATGGTATTGCATACTAAGTCATGACAAGCTGCCATTAAACAGTTCAAGATCAGCAGTACTACAAAAGGCCATGGTGAAATAAATAACTCACCCAGATTTTGTGCTGTCAGGATAGACAGAAACCCTCACTGTAGAAAAAGGGGCTATATCTGTAAGAAATCCCCAACTACAGTTGTAATCTTTAATTTCACTCAAGGACAGAAATCAAAATTTAGATTCCCCAGTACTGTACTACCTCATTTTAAAAATATGAGCTGACAGCAACAATCAAAGAAGTGTTTTATTCCACAGGTTATGACTCCTCAAATCTGGAAGAAGGATGCCAGAAGGGCTTTCAGGATGGTTCACCAAGTCCAGCCACAGACTTCTGCCCTGTTTTAATCTGTTTGACTTCTCCTAATTCAAAGTCACACTTGTATGCACTGCTGAAAATGCCCCAGAGCTGACACTCTGAAACACCTGAGTGAATTTTAACCTCTCTGGAGCTGCAATACATGAGATAATCTGTCCTCCAGTAACCAGTTCAAGTGAAAGATTTCTCACTAAAATATTTCAAGTGATATACTAACAAGTTAATGTCTATGAATAAAATTGATGTCCATCTCAGTCTCCTTCAGGCAAACTTCACAATCCCATTTACCACATATCCCATCCCGAGAAAGGTCTCCCTAATACTTTTTACTCCCTTTACTTATTTAGCACAGTAGCTAAATATTTTGCCTGTGATAAATATATTGCATTTACACTTTATAATGATCTGCACACAAAACAGCCTACTTAAAAGGACTTTAATCTTTATGTCCAAAAATAAATACATTAAATAAGTACCAGTACTACTGTTTGTATTAAATAACTAATGTTTAAAACCCAACTTGAATACACTGTTGACAGGAAACAATATTAAGTTCTAGAAGGACTAATTATGTTCCCTGTTTATAAGCAAATGAATTTGAAGAGGTGGCACCACCTAAGCTTACTTTCACATAATGTGAAGGAAAGAGTAATTAACAGGAACCACTTCTGTTGCTCAGCATAGGTTATAGAACAGCTTTGATTCAATACAATAAATAAATTGAGCAAAACAATGTTTTCCCATATCTTACTAATGCTTGGCAGAAACATAGCTGTTCTCTTTAAAGAGCTTTATGAATACTAGTCATTAACACCATGGGAGGCAGTTAAATATAAAACATTCTACATACAAGGAACATGGGATGCAGAGGCTCTAATAGCAAACAGACCACAGCTCAAACAGAGAGCTCTGTAGTTTGAAATGCTAATCTTATTCTCGGATCAGAGAGAGAGATAGTAAAAGCAGGATTACATTAAATTTTTCCCAGTATGAAGCAGACTCTCATTTTGGCCTAAGTTGATTTGAAAGGGGAATAAAACAGTTTTCAAAATATTCCCAAGTATCAAATGCAAATAATTTCAAGATGGTTGTTTTCCTGTTTGCCTTCCAGACTCAAAGGATTTGACTTCATAATAGTAGTATGAACAGTTTCCAGCTGTTGATAACAGCATAATTTCTGTACTGATTTATGTTGCCTCACAGAGAAGGGTATACATATATGCATGTAAACACAAAAACCTTTAAATTCAAGAAATGCCTTTGAACCAAAGCAATCCTGAGTGAGTTACAGCCCTCACCTTAATTTCAGAAAAGCTGTACAGATTTTTTTTTTCTTTTTTTAAAAAACACTTCAGCACAGCAAGGAATAATACAGAATTCCTGCAGCCAGCAGCAAAAATTCCACACAGTTCTTGGAGCATATGACACAAGATGTTAAAACAAGCAAGACTTCCAGACTCTTGAAGCATCCATCACTTTGCATCTCTCCTTCAGAAATCTTAGGCTCTTTTTGATTCAAGTTGTGAACAGACAGTTCTACAGAGAAAGACATCACTTTTTACACATATTTGCTCCATTTTTAAAGAGTAAAAAAAAAAATAAAAATCACATACACATCTCAGTAGCTGCTACTTTGGCTGCTGTTCATCCTTCTGTATGGCCAAAGTCCACAGGCCAAACACGTCAGCATGTGAGCTACATCAGACCTCCAGAGCACTTTCATTTTATTGCCTTCAGGAAATGGAAACACACTGTCTCTAAGCTCACACACCAGATCACTGTAGCTGAACATCTGGGTAAGCTACAAAAGCCAAGCAAAATCTCCTTACATACAAAAGGCAATTTTTTTGAATTT